CCGCCCCCCACCCATCGCTTCATGGCTAGCCTGATGACGGCCGAGACCTGCGCCAAGCTGGAGCCCGAGGATGGTGGGTGGCCACCGGTGGGGAGGGGACGGGCAGGGGGGTGTCCCCACAGTGGGGTGACCACCAGTGTCCTCTTCTGTCCCCGCAGCTGATGAGACGGTGGACGTGACGGGCGGCGAGCCAGAGCGGGCAGCCAGTGAGTACCAGGTGGCACCGTACCCGTCAGCCAGCCCCGAAAACGTCTACGAGACCTCAGCGCGTCTCCTCTTCATGGCCGTGAAATGGGCCAAAAACCTGCCCGTCTTCTCCAACCTGCCCTTCCGCGACCAGGTGGGGTTGGGGACCCCCATGGGGCATTGGGAACCCCCCTGTGGGACAACTGGGACCCCCAAAAATGTAGGCAACCAGTGGGAGGGGGATGGCTGGAGCATCCCCACAACATTCACTGCAGGGTCTGGGGGTCCCCCCCCCAGAAGATGCTCTCCAGCCCAACCAATGTGGTGGTTTCAGGTGCTGGAGGCTTTGGGGGTGACGGGGGTTTTTGGGGCTTGCCCCCCTCACCCCAGGTGATCCTGCTGGAGGAAGCGTGGAGTGAGCTGTTCCTGCTCTGTGCCATCCAGTGGTCCATGCCCCTGGAGAGCTGCCCGCTGCTGGCCGTCCCCGAGCCAGCCCCTGGCAAGCTGCTGCCAGCTGCCCTGGACGTCCAGGCGCTGCAGGAGACCCTCGGCCGCTTCAAGGCGCTGGCCGTCGACCCCACCGAATTCGCCTGCATGAAGGCCGTGGTGCTCTTCAAACCAGGTGGGGGACCCACCAGCACCCGCTGCTGTCCGTCCCCGTGTCCCCACCCCACCCCGTCACCCCTTTGTCCCTGCAGAGACCCGCGGCCTGAAGGACCCTGAGCAGGTGGAGAACCTGCAGGACCAGTCACAGGTGATGCTGGGCCAGCACAACTGTTCTCACTACCCCGGGCAGCCTGTCAGGTACCGCCGTCCCCATGTCCCCATGGGTGACACCAGAGGTGGGGACACCCACCCATGGCCACCGCTCTGTCCCCCAGGTTCGGGAAGCTGCTGCTGCTCCTCCCGGCGCTGCGCTTCATCTCCTCCGAGCGCGTGGAACTGCTCTTCTTCCGCCGGACCATCGGCAACACCCCCATGGAGAAGCTGCTGTGCGACATGTTCAAGAACTGACCTCCCCCCACCCCAGTGTCACCCGGCTTGTTTGACACCCTGTCACCTCCTCACCCCGGGACGCTGCGGGGTGTGAAGATGCCCTGTCTCCAGGGTGGTGGCCAGGGCCATGAGATGCTGCTGGCAGCTGGGACATTGGACCAGCTTCACTGGGGACAGCTGGTGGCAGGGGGATGTCCCCAAGTGAGTGCCAGACGCACCAGGAGCACCTCATTGGGGTGGGTGCCTTGATGGGTGCTGCTGTCCCAAACGCTGGAGGAACACATGGACCCAGGGAAGGTGCCCCTGCTGTGGCACCAGCACACATGGGGACCCACTGCCGCTCAGGGGTGACACCAGCCTGGGGGTGACACTGCCCTGCGAGTGATGCCAGCCTGGGGCATGACACCAGGCCAGGGGTGACATGGGCCTGGGGGTGATGCCAGCTCAGGGGTGACACTGGCCGGGGTGATGGCCATCCTGGGGTACGATACCAACCCAGGGGTGACGCTGGCCGGGGTGATGGCCATCCTGGGGTACGATACCAACCCAGGGGTGAC